CGGGGAACGCCCATCCTGTCTGATCTCCTTGGTGTCCCTAGGTTAGTCGAGCTTCATGAAATGGGCCCAAGCACAGAAAACCTGTACAACCCGGACAGATGGCGTTCATGCACAACCCCAGTCCATCCCCAGGGAGGCCGACAAAGTTCCATAAGAGCTGAGAAGGACCTTACACAGTGTTAGAAGCGTGGTCGGATTCCACCTGCCGCATAGTTCGAACGGACGGACGAACGATGAGACCTATGACGGTGCATTGCATCCGGCTCAAACCAGCTACGAGAGGTGATGCCGCGGTAGGTGAACCTGTCAGCACGGGGGCCGATGAGGTACCAGCCGCAGTGGAGCAGGTGGAAGTCGCAGCCGAAGACGCTGCTGGTGTTGCGGACAGCACTTATTGTGTTAGGGGTAATGATGTAACGGCAATAATCAGCGGACGGTCGGTGTCTTATGTGTTTGTTCTATTTTCTGCCGTAATCCCTCTCTGTCTCCTCTTTCCTTCCACAGGCAGCCAGATCGCCTGCGTCGGGGCTGGCTATCAGCAATCACAGCCAGAAGAACCGAACTATACACACGAACAATCACCAGTCCCCACAAATGATCCCCCTTGTACAACCTCGATTGATGATTGATTGACTTGTACCGAATACACGCTATCCCACGGTCGTCTGTCTTCTCGCTGTCGTGTATCGATCGAGAACGTGGTGTTTGCCGGTTGCCTTATTCGTATATCGAGTCGTAACTGCTCACTGTTTCCGAGTCGTGCGGAACAACGCGCCTTTCCAGACCTATTTCCTTTGGGCATTACAACTCCATATATATACAACCAATATGGCTGCCCCCACCGCATTTCTGCGTTTCGTGTTTTGCTTGCTGACTCGTACTGCTCAGTTATCGATGAATTCCGTAGACGATTCCTCCAATTTCAAATGTTGGATAGAAGACTCATATGAGTCTTTGGATCATTTTCGGAGGACTTTTGTGACTTCCAGTTGGCTACCTGTACCCAATTTTATATTTATAATTCTAGAACACGTGTCGGTTTAAGGAATATGGACGAGAGCTGCCACCTGGAGTGCCTTATTATTACATCAAATACT